GCAGCGTCCGCGGACGTCAGATGCGACCTTCCTCCACTCTCAAAACCGAGCCCGGGCTGCAACATGAGCAGAGCATGATGGGTACGCGCTGCCGGATCAAAGTGCACGCGAACCTCGCGAATCCAACCCATCTGCCAGTGCTGTGGAAGAGTGCACAGGGCCAGGCTTCTAGGAGAATCCTATCCGTATGCGGCCTCCGAGTCGCACATTGAGGTGAGTGCCCATTCGTTCGCGCGTCGCATACGCTAGAGAATGCGGCGGCATGGCGTTCGTGGACATCGTGCACACGGACACGACCTGCATCCTCTCTCGGTTCTCGTAGGCGAGTTCGGGCTGCGACCGTAGCAGTGAACGATGGGTTCCAGCACTCACAGCCGTATAACACCCTCATGCACGCTCTCGGATCAGTGTGCACACGAATCTCGCAGAGCCAAGCCGTCTGCCAGTGCTGCAGAAGAGCGCACGGGCCAGGCTTCCAGGAGAATCCCATCCGTGCACGGCCTCCGAGTCGCACGTCGAGGCGAGTGCCCGTTCGTTCGCGTGCGTCGCGTACACTGGAGAATGCGACAGCGCGGCGTTCATGGACGTCGTGCGCACGGACGCGGCCTGCGTCCGTTCTCGGCTCTCATGGGAGAGTCCGGGCTGCGACACTAGTGGAGAATGATGGGCACCGTGGGTTCTGGTTCACAGCTGTATGACACCCGCACGCGCGCCTCTGGATCAATGTCCGCGCGAACCATGAATAGGCCGTTCCCACTTATTGCGACGCTTCTTCGAGGTCCAGAAGAGACCTACTACGGTGCGTTGATCGTCAGACAGTCAGCACATTGTCGAAAAGAAGAGCGCGCTCAGGGCCAGGCTCCTCGAGGAACCCCAATCTGTACACGGTCTCTCACGTCAAGTCAAGTGCCCGTTTCATTCATGCACATCGCGTCTAGTACAGAATGCGACCGTCAAGGCTCATAGACGGACGCGTTGCGGCATGGGTTGGAAGACATTCACATCAGTCACTAGCACGCTGCAGCCGCGTCCCGAGCCCAATCAAGCACGCCATGGCCACGGCGCGGCATTTGTGGATGTCGTGTGCATAAGCGCGAGCTGCGTCTGCTCTCGTAGGTGAGTCAGGACTGCGACATTAGTGGAACATGGGCACTGCAACAGTTCTTCAAGGCCCAGAAAAGGCCTATCGCGGTGCGCTGCGCTGATCGCTCATACAGTGGGCGCATCGATGAAAAGGAAGAGTTCGCGGGCCAGGCTTCCGCGAGAATCTTAAATCATATGTATGTATTCTCACGTCGAGGTGGTGCCCGTTCATTCATGCACGTCACGTATGATAGGAAGAGCGACCGTTGAGCCTCGCAGATAGAGGTGCCCCGGCGTGGTGTAAAAGGCGTCCACATCGGTCGATAGAACACTGCGTTCGCATACCGAGCTGAAGCGGGCATATCGCGCCCGCGGCGCGGCATTAGCAGATGTTATGTGCCCGATAGCGACCTGCATCCGCTTTCGTAGGTGAGCCAGGGTTGTGACACTAGCGGAGCGCGATAGTTATGAAGGGGTTGGCACTCACGTCCATATGATGTTTGCTCACACGCGAACCTCGCGAGTCAAAAGAAGCGGTCCTGGGTGCTGCGACGGTCCTTCGAGGTCCAGAAAAGACTTACTGCGGTGCGATGCGC